GGATCAAACGCGATCTTTTCGTCATAAAATGTTGCGAAGAGCGTCGGTGAATTTGGGGTCTAAATTAAGAATTATAGAACATTAGCTCAAATCATGGTAAACAATAATGTGTTCAAGAAAGAGTAACTACGTGCAGCAGTAGGTGTATGTATGTGAAAACTTATATGGGTTATACTGGGAAATCCTGTATTGTTTTTGTTAACAATTTGATCTCCGTTTGTCACTTGATATTCTTTTGGCGTGCCCTTCGCATTATTTGCTCTGAATGTCAATATCTGAACGTCTCATACAATATGTAACAAACCGCGCACATATCGCAATATGATGGACCTTGAAAATATGGTCAAGCACTAGACGCCCGCGTGCCGAGAACCTAAGCAGAGATTGTTTATTGTAAACAAAAAATCAATCTTTTGTTTTCTCGTTAGCAAATCGAGAACATTCATCATAGGAAGTAATTTGTGAGAATATTGGGCACGTATCGGCTTCTATTCCAATGAGGTCGCGCCAATGTCGTGTCTTTCATAATTTAGCGTTGCCTTCTACAAATATTATGGAGGCTTCATTTTAATTTTTTAAAGCGAATGGCCTATTGTGGTGGAACAATCGGTCCCGTTCTACGTGTCAATATTAGAATTATTCTCGGAAGTAATTTGATACTTTTTCTCGTCCCCCAAACGTTACCCTGGCGGCCATTGTTTTCAACGGTGCTTCTCGGCACGGTGCGCAGCANACGCAGCAGCTACGGTAACATTGACATTTTATCCGTCATTTATTATGTTTTGAAAGATTTATTCTTTGGAAAAAAAAAACAAAAAAAATCTCTACAAGAATTTTAACTGTGCCATCACAGTTAAAATTCTTGTAGAGATTTTTTATTATTATTCCATAATATACCCAAATGTAAAAAGCACGTAAGAAAACCAAACAACTGCTCTCGATTGCCATCCCAAATATGCAGCTCGGAAAGCCTTAGGGTCTGAATTCTTTCACCGTATCCCTGTAATTATAATTACCAGTAACCAGAGGTTACCGTAGCGTGAACCGGGGCCGCGAGGGCCTCAATTATTGTGGGCACCGCCCGGGGCCCGCCTGATGTTAGGTTTAGGGAGCTCTAAGCTGTCTCACTTCTGCTGCACCGGGTATTTCGAGTTCAACGATTGTTTCTTACCTGTGAAATCATAATCGATTCCATCTCGGAAATGATACATTCGTTGGAATCGTTCTCGATCTGATATCGTGATCGGAAAGGTTTTGAATGCTGTTTGGATTAGAATTTATTTTACTGTCTTCAGCGTGTTTGATGTATGGGCCTCTTAGTGAAGAGACATTAGCTTGGAGTAAGTACTTCAAATCCAAGTCATCAAGCTGTTACAGTAATGAGTTATGTAGGATGGCCGATGCCACGGGCACAGACGCGAGATTACGGTGAAAGTACAACTAACTACCAACGTTGACGATGTCAAAGTAAGCGAAGATTTATTTACTTCGTCACAACTGCCTAAAACTGAATCTGATCTGCTCACGATGTTCATTTTTACTTAGCGTAAGGCCTGTATTGCTATTTATAAGTACATAGTAATGATAAAATTAATCTATGACTGAAGTGAGAGTCCTGTAAATGCAAAGCTCGGTAAAACCAAAGCCCTCAGATCCCAATTCTGTCCGTTATTTCCCGGCATTATCATTGAATCTTTTGAGATTTTCATCTCACCTCTGTGACTTCCATTATCTAATCTAATTGTTTACAGTCTCAAAACACAAGTAGTGATTGTCTGGACAGACGCATTCTAATTAGGAGTGGCGTTATGGCGGGCAAGTTTAATTGAATAAGTGCGATCCGCTGCGTCATCTTGATCCACCCGGAATCAAGACGTCAAGTACCGCGTTATCGGCGCCCGCGCAGCTATCGCCGATCTCTGTACACAATGGCCGATGGCCGACGGACACACCTCGCACACCTGTCTCGGGCAAGGGGCAGGTGCGGGGCGAGGGGCGATCAGGGCTGTCATTAACAAAGTCAAAGTCAAAGTCAAAATTTCTTTATTTGTTTAGACTAATAAATAGTTCTTACAAATCGTCATTTTGCTCTTAAGGAGCCTCTACATGTCTCATAATCTTTTTACCCTACCAGCGCTTCGAGACCAACATTTGGCAAGTGCTGAGAAGAAGCGCCGCAACAAACTCAGTCACCACTGTCTGCCGGGTATAAATAAATAGAAATAGCAGTAGTAGGTACATTCGATTCAGGAGAAAATAACAATCCGATCAAAAGTTTGATGATATCGTTTTTTTATATTTACGAGACAAATATAATTTCCTGACCAAATATCGCAACGGCTCTACATTTTTATAACATGTAGTGTAACTGATACTTTTTATTGCGAGAAAGAACTGGATAATTTGATAGCAGGTGGTTTTATGATTGGTGATTATTTCCTGCATCCGTCATCTGTGAAATTTATCTGGGCTATGATTTGGGAAAGCTCATAAAAATTAAAAAAGTACAAGTAATAACAAATCAATAAAAGTAACTTCCAGGTGTTTCTAACAATTGGTTGGTAACCCTAAGACCGAGCAGGCGGCGCGCGCGCAGCCCCAGGCACGGCAGGCGCGTGCGGCCGACCTCCGGGGGAATGCCTCCGCTAGTCATTAACTTTCGGGATTGCTGCCTCCATGATATATGCGTGGGACGTGGCCTTATGTAATGACGCAGATGCTATTACTGATCTTGAAGATTCTGGACCTGCCCTGTAACAATAACCTCGAGGTGTTTTTGATTCACCGATAAAATAATACCCACCTTCGAAATGTAATGGGGTAAAATTTTACTGTATGTGATGCTTTCGATAATTCCACACTTATGAAAATATTTGTAAATTCCGACGAACTATTAAGATGCTAAATCAACAACATAGTCGCCCTATCACGCGATTCTCGTGCACAACGCTTAACGAAGATATTATACAAATCGTTCCGCAACTGATGTATACTTTATTCAAGTCGGCAAAACAGCCGCAGTCGAGTTTAACACGTACATCCCTTTCGTTGCCGGCGTAATTTTAGGTCATTCCCATCGATGGTGCCGGGAAACGGCCTTGCGGCTGCGCGTACGCAATCGTTGCAGAATCGCTGATCGCTTCCTCAATTTCCTTGGCCTTTGTCTTAGACTCGCAACAATTCAACGAATAATGCTGCCAATAATTAAGCTATTGCGGTTATTGCACACGCGTCTAACACAATACCCACCGTTAATAGGTCGCAATAAACTGAAGGTTCTTTCTCTAAAAGGGTTTGAGCCTTTAAGGCGTGAACGTGCTCCTTGTAGAATCAACCTTGGATTCGGCGAACCCATTGTTATGGCAACCGACTGCGCCGAAAATCGCGCATTTGTTATGTCTACGACCTGACGGGTTACGTAACCGTGTTCGAGGAACAAAGAGCAAAAATCGTGGATTCACAGAAGTTATCGAAGGGTCAGGCCAGGTGACCGCGACGGCTGCGCGCGCGCCTCTCCTCGTATAATTCACCGAGCCCAAATGAAATTATTATACTAATTACCGAATCTCGATCACGAGCGGGGGGCGGGCCGGCTCTAAATCTCTGCCCGCTCTCCTAAATCGATTACGGGTATTACTAGCCTAGAGCTCCACGTTTTGTCTCTGTCTAATGTGGGCCGGCCTTGCTCTCCTCTTTTTGGAGATAATCTCCACCGGTTCAATGCTCTGAATGAGCATATTAGGCGTCATTGCTTCACGACCAATACGAACTTTGACTTTGAGAATGCGGTTGATAAGAAATTTTTCTTCAGTAATTAGGAAAGTCGAGTCGTGTCCAAAACCTCCCATTTGAGTCGATTTAGTGTTTAATTGATGATGGTCTTCAACTAGTCTTCACACGTGCAGTGGGTGCACGATTATTTATAATAGTTCACACTCTAGTAAGCGCCAAAGGAGTCCGTCGGCTTTCACACGCACTGCCTATTTAATTTAATTGTTGACGAAAAAGTTTGGACGGATTTTGTTAACAAACAACATTATCTTGTTGCAAAATATTCGCACGGCTTTCTATCGCGTTTTGATTAATGGACGCTTCGTAGTTTCGTCCGATTACAATGATTTACCGAGACGAGTTTTAAATTAAGCTCGAAGTTATCATACTGCGTAGGTAAATAGTAATTTTGTATAATAACAAAGATGTTCTCGCGGAAAAAAGTCCTTGTGGGAAGGAACCTCATTAATTAGTTTATAATAATCATCGGTGGTTTGTCGGCTACAGCGTGTTTGATTTAATCCTAGGTTTCCAACAATGAATTGTTTATGTAGAATGTTATTATAACTGTGACACGCATCAACAGCATATCATTACCTCACTAATCATAACAATGTCATGGTATTACAGAGTAGTAGCGATAATTCATGGCAATTACATGTTTATATTGATTGACGTGACACGCTAAAGAGATATCTAGTCCTCGTGCTGAATTCAATAATACATAGTGGTGTTCTACAGAGTTGGCGCTACAACACCATAATAAGGGGTAAAACAGATCATATCAGAAATAACAATGTAACTCATGTTACTCATGATCATTTAAAGCCATCATTGCTTCTTAGGATTTTCATGAAGCTCTACGTCAGAGTAACTGCGGGCTGAAACTTGTGAATAATAACGTAGAGTGGATATACGAGTAAGCATTTGGAATCTTCAACAAACTGACTCCTTGTCACCTGAGTTCCCATTTGAAAACATGTGACAACGAAACTATTCCTCTCGTCCCCACCGAAGCAACTCCCTTGTGGCTAGGTTTGCCAGGCGTCCGGATAAAGCCGGACATAGGTAGGCTTCCAGCCAAATGAAGCACAGAGTCCGGCTTTTTCGTTTTTGGACCTGGCAACCCCGTAGCCAGGATCCACAAAAAAAGTACATGTGATTGTGAAATGTCAACCGTTTTAAATCTCAAATTCTCAAGCCTCCTGACTCTTGGCTTTCTTCCGCAGCCTGTTCGAGCAGGAGATAATGAGCTACGTGCCCGCGGGCGGGTGCGGCGCGGCGGGCGGGGCCAGCCCCTCCCCCGCCGCCTCGCCCGCCGCCGCGCGCACCACGCGTGCGCCCGCGCCGCAGCGCCGCGACTTCGAGGCCAAGCTGCGCGCCTTCTACCGCAAGCTGGAGAGCAAGGGCTACGGGCAGGGGCCGGGCAAGCTGAAGTAAGTCTTGTTTAAAGTTACGGGCCTATACTTTATACCACCTAGGTCCCGCGATGAGCCTTATACCGCAAGCTGGAGAGCAAGGGCTACGGGCAGGGGCCTGGCAAGCTGAAGTAAGTCTTGTTTAAAGTTACGGGCCTATACTTTATACCACCTAGGTCCCGCGATGAGCCTTATACCGCAAGCTGGAGAGCAAGGGCTACGGGCAGGGGCCGGGCAAGCTGAAGTAAGTATCTACCTATTTTACGTCACGAAAATACATCGATTTGCAAACCTACCGGTCCTGCGCAAACCAGAAGGGCGAGGCCTAACCTAGACCCAACGATGCGCCTTCAGGCGAAATCTTCAGCTTCCAGACCAAAGGCAAACAGGCTAGGAGAAACTCACGTCTAAGAATCAGATACTTTTCAGAAAAGGCTTTCTGCTGATGGCAACTTCACTTTTTCCACAAATACTGAAGTCCTAGAAGGGACTAAATCTTTTTTTGAACTTACTTCGCGTTCNGCGCATTCTTCAGACCATCAGAGTGGTAGAGTCACAGCTGCGAGAATGTTAGCTTAACTGCACATCTTTTACTGCAAGCAGAAGGTAGGTAAATGATTTTAGGGAGTCGCACAGTTTAGTAGTACGCACACTCACTGCGGGCGCCCGTCGCACAGTCGCGACAGCAATATAATTACGCGCGAGCGATAAGGATGGGTAGCTTGGGTTCATTGGACAAAATTCTACGTGCTCACGGACCAGGCTTTAGTAGGGCCTCAGTCCCTCCCCCGCCGCGTCGCCCGCCGCCGCGCGCACCACGCGTGCGCCCGCGCCGCAGCGCCGCGACTTCGAGGCCAAGCTGCGCGCCTTCTACCGCAAGCTGGAGAGCAAGGGCTACGGGCAGGGGCCGGGCAAGCTGAAGTAAGTCTTGTTTAAAGTTACCGACCTAGGTCCCGCGATGTGCCTTCTACCGCAAGCTGGAGAGCATGGGCTACGGGCAGGGGCCTGGCAAGCTGAAGTAAGTGTCTACCTAAAAGTGCCAACCTATCTAATCTAATTTAGATCCTGCGACGTGTCTTCTAGCGAAAGTCTCAGCTTCCAGATCAAAGGCCAGGAGAAACTCAAGTAACTGTATCTATCAGATACACTTTCAGAAAAGGCTAATGGTAACTTCACTTTTTACACGAATAGTAAAGACCTAGGAGGGACGAAATCTTGGTAGAACCTCATCAAATAACCCCAAACACGGCAATGTCCACATCATACGAGTATTATTACACACAAATTGTTTGTACTGTACACTTATTTATTTATAGCCGCTTGATGTTAAAAGTATTTATAACCACAATTTTTAAATTCCTACCCCTTTTATCCCTCCGACCTTTGTTTAAGCTCTATTGCATTTCGCCAGCTAAGCGAACGAGGTCGTTTGAGTTTAACTCGTGCAAAGGCGGGCGGCATTAACTCTGACGACAGCACTTTTGTGGGCGGGCGGCTTTCAGCCCTTCGCGTGTGGGACACGGGACAACAATAGAAATGACAACAATTTGAAATATGCACGAAGGACGACATGGAAAGGCCATATGGACATTATCTATTTTAACTTCCCTCTACCTTGACGGTCCATATTTAGATTTAAATTCAAAAGTGCTGAAGCAACCTTCGCTTCAGAGCAATTTCACTTATGATGACGGTAATATTTATAGACATTCTGTCACAACATTAGGAACCTGCACCGCACCATAATCTAAATATTTTTAAGGAACTTTTTGTGTCTTCATGATACGAGTTATCAACTATCCATCAGCAAAAGATAGCAGTAACATTCGCGTTAGACCTTTCAAAATCTATCCCTACCTTCTTTTTTTTATTATTATTTGGCTCGCAAAACTACTTAAAAATAATGCAGTCGAACATAGAACCTCCTCCTTTTTTTGGTTAAAAATATGGACGATTCTAAATTATTCTTGTCTCTTCTACAGACTCCACATCCGTCGCGAGCATCTATTAGAAGACGCGTTCAGGCGCATCATGTCGTGCGGCAAGAAAGAACTCCAGAAGGGCAAACTCTGCGTGCTCTGGGACGGAGAAGAAGGCCTGGACTACGGAGGCCCGAGCAGAGAGTTCTTCTTCCTACTCTCGAGGGAGCTGTTCAACCCGTATTACGGACTCTTCGAGTATTCTGCGAACGATACATATACGGTCCACGTTTCACCGATGTCGGCTTTCGTGGACAACCATCATGAGTGGTGAGTACATTGATTGTTTGTATTGTTGATACTGTTAGTTCTATTTCAGTAATTCTTTGAAAGTCATTGATTTGGAGCCGTGGTTGACAACGATTAGATTAGATTGTTGATTGTATTATTCTGACTATTTTATTACGATGGAAGTGTATGTTAATACTGTGTAAAGGCGGGTCCAGACATGTATCATTTGCCTGATCCGATCACCGTATCCGTATCGTCGACGCGTATCATCGCATATGTGGACGATACGGATACGGTACCCGCTACCCGCCTTAAAGTACTAACTGCTCTTAGTTTGGGACTAGACTAGCTGGCGTAGTGTAAAACGTTCTAGTAATACGAATATGGATGTAAGCAACGTTTAGGACGACCATACAAACAGTTTGTGATCAACAAAATCACCACAGTACATCAGACAGAACTAGGAAATCATAGAGAATGGTAAACAGTTCCTGGATTATGTTGCAAATTGTTGTAATTACGATTGTGCAAACGTACGGTGGCACATTGTAAGTCCGTGACGCGCTGATTATCGCTATTATTCCGAATGAGGGTAATTATCTCGCGTGATTTAGCCGGTGCGACGGACGGACGATCAATTGTGTGTATAGCTATGCAGTAACTGTGTGAATACAGCCGATCGGATGCGCATACACAAGATAACAGACTCTTTATTTGGTAGAGTCTATTTGCTCAAATGAAATGGCAGTATTGTTCTTGTTTAATTAAGCTTATTTTTTAAACACTATAAGTAAGGATATTATGTCGCTTAAAAATACATCATTTCACTAATTCTGTTCTGTATTTCTTTGGAACGGGCTCTCTACTTAAGCATATCTATTAGGCCTCGCCTCAACCCTTAAAACTTATAAGTAGCTTAAAACTTAATGATATCAGCAAATGAATCGTAAGTCTAGGGTCTACTTCAATAGCGTGATAGCGTCGAGCCAGCCAGACCATAAAAGCTACCAAATTGAACTAACTGTTTAAATGGGCTGAACAAAAAGCTTTCCTTTCATGACAACTCATGCCTTTTGTCCAAACACTTACCAAACCTACCGTTGTCCATTGAACCTGATTATAATAAGGACGACACAATTAAAATTCAAACTCCATACAAATATTACCGCGAAGCGATTACCGCGCGCCATATTTGGCGTCCGTTGATTGTGCGCGAATCATTGAATGTAAACTAAACATACCTTCGCAATTAATTAGATTCGACTTCTGTTTTTGTAAAACAATGTAATGGGTACAGGCACTGTGACGAAGATAATTCAATAGGTCAGTTTTGTATAAATACCTCCCTATTAAGATTGTCCAGTTAAAGGTAGATCGATAGGAAAGTATTTATTTGTCTCAAATCAGGTTACAATCGAGCGATGTGGAAATTATTGGGGGAGGCCTATGTTCAGCAGTGGACGTCCTGTGGCTGAAATGATGATGATGATGATGATGATGATGATGATGATGATGATCCAATTACAACATAGCACAGTGTACAACAGTGGTATGAGACAAAATGGTCTAAGACTCAGTGAAAAAAGTGAAATATAAGAGCATGGCCCTTTTTAGATGCGAGATGAGTTATTTTTCAAATTATGATAAGTATCTATTCCAAGATCCAAATAACATGTTTTATTTTTATAAAGTGACCTATAAAGAAGAAGTGGGTCAAGCTGTCTCGATGATAGAGTATATTTATCTAAACAACACTCAACTTTATTGCTTTTTATTTTTGTAAATAAATTAATCTTATGTTTGTTTGATTGATTGAATGTTTCTCATATTTCTAAATCATGAAAATGTACTTTGTTTTAGGTAGGTAGGAAAATGTTCCAAGTTGTTTGTTATTTATTTATTTATTCATTTGCATTAACATATTCAGCACATACAGGATATACATGCATTCATACATTGACCCTGTAAGGGTCTGTAAGGGTCTTACGTAAAGCTACACTAAATGGCAAAAAGTAAATATTTTAAACTATCTAATCATATCGGGGATAAATGTCCCAAATAGCTGTAAATATAGCTTTTAGCATTGTTTAATGGCTGAAGGAAGACTCCCGTGACCCGAATGCACAGTTTATGGCGCGTATATGGTGGAACCGTAAATCTGGGCTTCCAGTGCACTGTGCCTGCGCGCGACGACTTTAGTTCTATATTTACCCGCCTCAGTTCCGGTGGCGGCGCGCGCGTCGTATCAAGTTACACGGGCCACAGTAGACAGTGGTGTAGAAAGCTCACTCACACCTTAGTATTTCGGAAAATAGCTACTAATATGTCACAGGATAAGTCTATCCAACTACTTGAGACTTACTTTATCCAAAACTAGCGACTCGCCCCTGCTTCGCATAGTACAATGTATTATACTAACTTAAAAACTTTCCTCTTGAATCACTCTATCTAATAAAAAAAAAGCCTTCTGCTTAATATACAAGTATATTCACAAATACTATTGCTCGGGTTCCGACAAACATTCGGGTGGTGTTTTTTGCCCATCTTGTGTGACACAACACCAAAACAATCGTGTAACACTATCTGGGACTTTCAATTGGTGCGTAACGTACGTTTTAATAGAAAAAACGGACAAAGGTAGATAGAGTTACATTAAAGGCACGTATTGACGCCGGTTAAGTTTTAGTTTGTGTATTTATAAATATCAAGTTTATACGTCTACTTTGTAAAAAAAAAACATGAAAATCCATAAAGTTTCTGATTCTGCTGCTCCTTCAGGAGCAGTTCCTCATGTGAGAGTTCTCTGACGAATATTTTTCAAATCATAATCATCAGTTAGTCGTGTAAACCCAAATAGTCACCATTTATGAAGCGAAGTTATGAAAAGTGTTGTGTCTTTTGAGCAGGTTCCGCTTCTGGGGGCGTAAGAAGTGGGATTTCGTTTCTTTCTCAGTATTACGCTTGAGATGAGCTTGGGTAGGACTATCTCGTTGCGCAGTTCCGCTCTTTAGTCTCGCGATGCTTGAACTTGTGTTAAGTGAGGGTACTTATCGTTTTTCCATATTCTTTCTGGCATCACTTGAGATTTTATATTAAGTGGGGGTTGTTCCGTTGTCCAGGTTCCGCTCCTCAATCGCCCATCACTTGAGTTTGTGAGAGATATTCCATTGTCTTCTCTTAGCTACTTTACTTGCCTTTGTATTAACTGGGACATGTTTCCTCCAGAATCCTATCCGCTTCTGGGGCCGTGTGCATCACTTGTGATTAAGCCATATTATCCTGTTCTCCATATTCCGCTTCTTTCTCAAGCCGTATATCACTTAAGGCTTTGCACACTGGCGGATTTCAAGCGGAGCGGCGCCGTTGCTCCGCCCAGAAAACGCTTGCAATCCGCCAGTGTTGCAAGGCTTTTAAGCTTATATTAACTAGGAACTGTTTCCTCCAGGTTCCGTTTCTCTGGTCGTGTGCTAGGCTTGGCGCTGGTACATGGATTTCTGCTGGAGGCGTGGTTCACTCGTGCCTTGTATCGGGCGCTGCTGCGGCTACCACCAGCTTTAGAAGACGTCGACGCCTTGGACGCGCAATTCGCGGCCTCGCTGCGGTGGTTACAGGTAACTACTAGTTTACTTTGAGGTTCTACTTCTGGGCTGGCGCTGGTACATGGCTTCCTGCGTTAGAAGACGTCGACGCCTTGGACGCGCAATTCGCGGCTTCGCTGCGGTAGTTACAGGTATTGATCGGTTTATGTAACATAATATGTAGCTGAAAAACACTTTATCTAATAGCCCAATTGGTTTAAAATAAAACAATAGCTTTCAGCTAAACAATACAAATCACAGCGATGACTGTCTTTATAAGCCTACAACGTATTATTATGCACAATTGACGACAGCTAGACGGCACTTAGAACTACATAAGATGTGACATTGTTTAACTTGATAGACGACAGCACAACACACTACTTTTGTTGCAAATTCGCTCATATAACCTTGCATAAGACCTCAAAATTTTTAACTTAGGTAATGTGCCGTCAATTGTACCATTATCACTGATTGACACTTTAATCACTCTATTAATAAAAAGTTACACCCGGGATAAAAACTGGATCAACATGACATTTCCATACTAAATGACAATCTAATCCAGAGTTCAACTAGGGTGTAACTTTTATTAATAATGGTCACTGTCCACAAATGAAGTAAACAAGTATGGACTGTTTAATTAAAACGATATGCATTATTTTCAATGTTACAGTCAGCGCGCTGCGTGTCCTCTCTGGAACTAACGTTCGCGGTATCAGAACGGCTGGCCGACGGCCGCGTGCTAGAGAGAGAGCTGAAGCCAGGAGGCCGCGACGTGGCCGTCACCGAGCGGAACAAGAAGGAATACCTCGAGAGGGTGGTCCGGTGGCGCGTGGAGAGAGGCGTGGCCGAGCAGACGGAGTGGCTGGTCAGAGGGTTCCATGAGGTGAGGGTCTATTTACAGCCAGTGAGACAATTATCACACTGCACCGCATATAACGAATCCCGCGCGCAGACGCGTTGTCAGTGTGTTGTGCCGCGCGTGTTTTCTATACAAACTGAGGTACTTTCATCATCACCATCATCATCATCATTTCAGTCATAGGACGTCCACTGCTGAACATAGGCCTCCCCCGATGCTATCCGTGTTGATCGATTGGTAGCGGCCTGCGTCCAGCGCTTCCCTGCTACCTTTACGATGTCGTCGGTCCACCTTGTAGGTGGACGTCCCACGCTGCGTTTTACCGGTACGCGGCCTCCATTCCAGAACCTTTCTGCCCCATCGGCCGTCAGTTCTGCGTACTATGTGCCCTGCCCAGGTACTTGCAAACAATGATTAATCTGCGGAGTGCGGTGCAGTGTGATAATCGCCTAACATGCCACCGATGGCGGCCACCCGATACATTTCTGTTAAAAATTGGCAGCCATCGGCCACCTTCGTGTGCGCAGTACCAAAGGACGTAGCGTGCGTGTGCACCGAGCCTAATGGTCAGATAAGGATAACCTTGATGATGGCACTTCTACTGTGTTATATGCCTTAACCTCCCTGCGCGTGGTCGTGAACCTATTTAACAACTCTAATTATTGAGAAGTTCTAGTTATCAGGGGCTTAGGTATAGACAAGTAAAAAGTGCCTACATTACTTTTGACTGCAACTGCTAGCACAAATTCTGCTTACAAAAACTTAATGTAAAATTGCCTTACTTTTCAAACCTTTCACACCAGCTCTTGTGAAACGACCTACACTAACAATGTTATTATAAATCAACACTCGCCTAGTTTTAATTGCGAAAATCGACGTTAACGAGCGTAATGTAGTTAGGTAGTGTTGGCAGATAGTGGGACTCGTTGAATTCTAATGTTATTGAATAGTTATTGAATTTTTGTTGTTGTCAATTTTACATATTAATTTGCTGTTCCTATTAAATCTAATGTGGTATTTTGGTGATGCTCCCTAAATTACAATTTATGTATGCTAAGAGGTATTTTCCAAATTAGTATCTTTANAGTTTAAACCAGAGTTCAACTAGGATGTAACTTTTATTAATAAGGGTCACTGTCCACAAATGAAGACGCAAACAAGTATGGACTGTTTAATTAAAACGATATGCATTATTATCAATGTTACAGTCAGCGCGCTGCGTGTCCTCCCTGGAATTAACCTTCGCGGTATCAGAAAGGCTGGCCGACGGCCGCGTGCTAGAGAGAGAGCTGAAGCCAGGAGGCCGCGACGTGGCCGTCACCGAGCGGAACAAGAAGGAATACCTTGAAAGAGTGGTCCGATGGCGCGTGGAGAGAGGCGTGGCTGAACAGACGGAGTGGCTGGTCAGAGGGTTCCATGAGGTAAGGGTCTATTTAAAGCAATTGAAAGAAGTACGCCAAGCGTACAAAGACGCGCCGTAGAGAGTACCACTATTGCTGCTCAAAACTAAGGGTACTTTATGAGGTCAGACCTTAAACATAGGGATTCCTCCACCTTCTTCGCCTGTGTGAATCAAACTGAATATTTAGTGGCTTCATTTCACCTCGTAACTATTGCACCTGGGTGATATGAGAGAGCTGAAGCCAGTGACATGCCACCGAAGGCGGCCACCCGCTACATTTCTGTTAAAAATTGGCAGCCATCGACCACCTTCGTGTGCGCAGTACCAAAGGACGTAGCGTGCGTGTGCACCGAGCCTAATGGTCAGATGACGATAACCTTGATGATGGCACTTATGCTGTGTTATATGTCATAACCTCCCTGCTATTCGCGTGGTCGTGAACCTATTTAACAACTCTAATTATTGAGAAGTTCTAGTTAAAAATGTCCTACATTACTTTTGACTGCAACTGCTAGCACAAATTCTGCTTACAAAAACTTAATGTAAAATTGCCTTACTTTTCAAACCTTTCACACCAGCTCTTGTGAAACGACCTACACTAACAATGTTATTATAAATCAACACTCGCCTAGTTTTAATTGCGAAAATCGACGTTAACGAGCGTAATGTAGTTAGTGTTGGCAGATAGTGGGACTCGTTGAATTCTAATGTCTGACAGACAGAGCCCCAACGGAAGTGCATTCAGTAATACGTTACTTATTAAATTTAGGTTGTTGTCGATTTTACATATTCATTTGCTGTTCCTATTAAATCTAATGTCGTATTTTGGTGACGCTCCCTAAATTACAATTTATGTATGCTAAGAGGTATTTTCCAAATTAACATCTTTATTATTTACTAGCGGCCGACCGCGACTTCGTACGCGTGGACCCCGTTTTACCCCCTTAATAGGGGTGAGCACCTACCTACGTTCTAAAAGGAAACCCCATTCAAAATTTTAGACACCTGGCACTTTTGGTTTCTAAGATTTCGTGATGAGTGAGTCAGTCAGTGACTTTTTACTTTTATATTCGATTATTAAAAAGGATTTTCGCTGAAATAAAATTAACAAAAAAATAGTAAAATAATAAAGTCACAAATGACTACCAAAAGGCTTACTGTAATGGCACCCCACATATCATGACAAGCTATTAAGATGTTAGCACGTTATCATATTTATTGATCGTCGTTATCACGCATCGGCGATGTCGCGGAAGTGAGCCGCGCCCAGCAGAGTCGGCCTAGCGACTGCATGTACTTATACAGTCGAGCACATTAGATTATAATTTTTTCTCGCAAAATGCCGCTTATTGCAACTGCATAAGAAACCAGTGTTTTTCTTGATGTGCTACCGCGCCTATGACGAACACTAATCGCGTTGTCGTAGTCTTCACTGCATTTTATCGTCAATATCAATTACCTACTTCAACAAATACTGTTAATTACATATTATAGAACTTCTGACCTGCCCCAACTTATAACTGATACAAATCATATTATTTAATGTCCTTAGATAATTAATATTGTCAAAGTTGGCTTGTCTCGTACTAAGTACATAGCGAGAAACCAAACTCATTTTTTTCCAAAACAGACTCAAAAGTTTAAAAAAATCTTGAAGCGGATCCATCAGGCTTCTGATGTAAATAATAAGTCTACTTGTGTGTTTCCAAAATTACATAGGTATCTACTTCTATGGTCCATTCAGTGGCGTAATTATACCATCTGAGCCCCGTGGCAAATTCTGTCAGGGCCCTTGGCGTATCTAGGGTTTTTTTTGGGTATAATGCATAAAATCCTAAGCTCGAGAGCTTATAAGTACTTAAGTAATCCTACTATTTAGCAAAGGACTTTAAAAAGATCGGGCACGCGCATTACTGCCATAATAAATGATTTTAATTCTTAGATTTTACTTAATGTGTACCTATAGATTTTAATTTTTAGTATAAACATAATTTGTATTGATAATTAATATAATTTGTTGATTGTTTATGTATAATATGTATTTTGCTAATGATAGTTAAATAAAGTATCGTTAAGCCTTTATTTCGCCTGAGATACAGGAAAAAAAATTCCTAGTTCAGGCACATATATAACTTTACCTTTTGTAGCATAAGATTAGCCTAGAGTTTAAACTGTCAAATAAGATATTCAATAAAGAATTTATTTATTTATTTAACCACGGTTTTTGTTCGTTCAGGTGGTGGACCCGCGCCTGGTGGGAGCATTCGACGCGCGTGAATTGGAGCTGGTGATCGCGGGCGCGCCCGAGCTCGACGTGGCGGACTGGCGAAGCAACACCGAGTACCGCGGCGGGTATCACGACGCCCATCCTGTTATACTGTGGTTCTGGCAGGCTATAGACAGGTAACTTACCCTGATTTCACGTATTCTTATTGATATCAATCTAGGAATTTAAATGCAGTTCTAATTCCCACGTATTTATTTGCTCGAGATAGAAAATAATAAAACAGTAATTTATGACAATCGTCGTCCGTCTATGTCGTCGTACGTCACACTCTTCCTTCTCTTTCACACATCTTTACGTTCCCTTTCGAACTCATATCCTACAACCTACATATATACCTGACAGCTTTTAAGTTTCCGAGTTTTAAACCTAGGCGCAGACCACCGACTTTTAGTCGGCCGATAGTTGGATCGGGCTGTTGATCAGTATGGATTTGTATGAAAATGCGCACATTACACCGATTTGATATCGGCCGATTCTTCATACAAATTAGAATCGGGCCTAACTATCGGCCAACCAAAGTCGGTGGTCTGCCTGCGCCTAGGCTAATATAATGAGAGAACTGAATTTGGTATTTTCCAGCATGTACAAAAACCGATATTTTTATATCGAATCTTCTATGAAACTGAGATTGCGGATCTTGATTTACTTCAGAAATTAAAGTTTTGTAACAAATCCCCATCCGCTAAACCGTAAATATTGATACTGCACCTACTGATACTATTTGCAGTAGACACGGAAGTCTCTAATCTGTCATTCTTAACATGTCATTTGAGTCAAAACAAAATTGGAAATGTGCCTAAGTTCGATGTCCTCAAGCAACCTCAAAATGAAAAACACCTTTTCCACAAATAAGTTTTTTTTTAATTCTAGACAAATTAGGTATTTGACCTACCTAGGTATTAGTACTTACCTACAAACCTATTAACGCTCCACATCTTCCAGGTTCACCAACGAGCAACGCCTGCGACTGGTCCAGTTCGTGACCGGCACATCTTCCATCCCTTACGAGGGCTTCTCGGCCCTGCGAGGGTCCACGGGCCCGCGCCGCTTTTGTATCGAACGCTGGGGCCGCGTGGAGTCGCTGCCTCGGGCCCACACCTGCTTCAACCGACTCGACCTGCCGCCTTATCCCACGCCGCATCTGTTATACGAAAAGCTACTGCTGGCTGTTGAGGAAACTAACACCTTCGGGATAGAGTAGACGGTCCATTTTTGCAGCTTGNACAAACAAACTCTTCAGCTTTATAATATTAGTATAGACTAGCGGCCGCCCGCGACTTCGTACGCGTGGACCCCGTTTTACCCCCTTAGGGGTTGAATTTTGCAAAATCCAGTCTCAGTGAGCCTACCTACGTTCTAAAAGGAAACCCCATTCAAAATTTTAGACACCTGGCACTTTTGGTTTCTAAGATTTCGTAATGAGTCAGGCAGTGACCTTTTACTTCGCTGAAATAAAATTTCCAAAAAAAAAGTCAAATAATAAAGTCACAAATGAATACCTATAAGACTTACTGTAATGGCCCCCCACATATCATGACAAGCTATTAAGATGTTAGCACGTTATCATATTTATTGATCGTCGTTATCACGCATCGGCGATGTCGCGGAAGTGAGCCGCGCCCAGCAGAGTCGGCCTAGCGACTGCATGTACTTATACAGTCGAGCACATTAGATTATAATATTCTTGTTGCAAAATACCGCCTATTGCAACTACATAAGAAACCAGTGTTTTACTTGATGTGCTACCGCGCCTATGACGAACACTAATCGCGTTGTCGTAGTCTTCACTGCATTTTATCGTCAATATCAATTACCTACTTCAACAAATACTGTTAATTACATATTATAGAACTTCTGACCTGCCTTAACTTATTAAGTTGTGATACAAATCAGTCTTATCTAATTCTTAGTTAAAGTTTACGTCACACGAAGCCTGTGAAATACTTATTTTGCTTACCCATTAGTAACTTTTCTACAATAGAGAGCTCTAGTATTTGGGGGGAGATCATTTCGAAATCCAAAAACCATAGACTATTGCCCGTTTTCATTTTCACCATCAATCGCTAATGCAGTGGTGATCCCTATGAAAACAAAATTTCTGTTATGTGTTACCATAAGGGTCACTTGGGCACATGAAAATGGCCGTAGGTAATACAATTTTTATGAGTAAGTATTTATGAGTTAAAAATCTCCGCTACTTAAGTTTAAGTTTCACTAGAATGAAAAGCGTAAAAGCTTAATTGTAAAAAATACTGTAACACTGTGTGTATGTATGTTATATCTGTATCTGGGTGTTACTTTACTTTTTTTACTGAATGAAAGTCCGAAGGTCGAATTTCTACAGTGTAGAAATATATTCTTGCTCTCACAATAGGTAATCACAATCAGAATAGTGGCTTGGTAGCGGGCGTACTCTATGTGATGCAGAATGCAGAGAACGACTGGCGAGCGCCGCAGAATGCGACTCGCTTGCAATACAATATTGCAAACTCAACGAAATACAATGTCTTCTTCTTTTCGTGTCGACAACAAACCTACACAGTGTCAGCCCAAAACTCAACCACAAGAGTGGCGTTGTCAGCAGCACTCATCAAATCCTCCTAAGTGCAGTTGCTCGGGCACTCAGGGCACGATATCAGGCGCTTCATCGACTGGGGAACAAAACCGCACCTGCACTCCATGTTTAAGCCATCCAAGAATCCCCACCTGACCAGATTGTCCTTACTACTGCCAACCCGCGTCCGAAGTATATTTAAAGACTACAATAAATACAATGTGTCCCTACAATACCGTTGTCCTAACCACGGTCTTTGTTCGTTCAGGTGGTGGACCCGCGCCTGGTGGGAGCATTCGATGCACGTGAATTGGAGTTGGTGATCGCGGGCGCGCCCGAGCTCGACGTGGCGGACTGGCGAAGCAACACCGAGTACCGCGGCGGGTACCACGACGCCCATCCCGTTATACTGTGGTTCTGGCAGGCTATAGACAGGTAACTTTCGGCCGTTTGGTGTAGTGGTTCGAAACGGACTACTATTCCGAAGGTAGCGGGTTCGATACCCGCACAGTACAAACATTTGTGTGCATGAACATATTTGTTTGTATTGGACTGGGTGTTTTCTATGTATAATAAGTATGTATTTACAAAAAAAAAGTATTTAAGTATGTTTATATCCGATGTCTAGTACCCATAGTACAAGCTTTGCTTAGTTTGGGACTAGAAGCGCAGTGTAAAATGTCCAAGGATATTTATTTATTTATTTAACTTACCTTGATTTCATGTATTCTTATTGATATCAATACCTGACAGCTTTGTTTTCGAGTGTCAACTGTGAGAAAACTGAGTTTGACACCCGATATTTTTCAGCACGCTATGCGCGTAATCTGGCTATAAACTACTAGTAAATTGAGCACTATCATCATCATCAACAGCCCTATACAGTCCACGCTGGACTATGAGCCTCCTCCAATGGAGGGTTTTGCCATAATCCCCACGCTTGGCAGGCGGGTTGTAGATCGCAGTTTAAAAGATTGAACACTATACAACTGTAAATTTTTCAATGAAACTGCGATATTATATTACGGTACTTGATTTACTTCAGAAATTAAAGTTTAATATTATACAAATTCCCATCCGCTAAACCGTAAATATTGATACTGCACCTACTGATACTATTTGCAGTAGACACGGAAGTCTCTAATCTGTCATTCTTAACATGTCATTTGAGTCAAAACAAAATTGGAAATGTGCCTAAGTTCGATGTCCTCAAGCAACCTCAAAATAAAAAAAATATTTTTCCACAAATAAGTACTTACCTACAAACCTATTAACCCTCCACATCTTCCAGGTTCACCAACGAGCAACGCCTGCGACTGGTCCAGTTCGTGACCGGCACATCTTCCATCCCTTACGAGGGCTTCTCGGCCTTGCGAGGGTCCACGGGCCCGCGCCGCTTTTGTATCGAACGTTGGGGCCGCGTGGAGTCGCTGCCTCGGGCCCACACCTGCTTCAACCGACTCGACCTGCCGCCTTATCCCACGCCGCATCTGTTATACGAAAAGCTACTGCTGGCTGTCGAGGAAACTAACACCTTCGGGATAGAGTAGACGGTCCTTAAATGCAGCTTGGAAGCCGTGGATATTTTTTTAAACCGTCTGTTTTATAAGCTGCCAGGTTTAAACTAATACCATGATAAAGTAAAACGACTAGCTGGCCGTAGGTACGCTCATATGCAGCCATTACGTGTATATCATAATGTCCATAGGCTTTATCAAACAGAACGCGTTCCTAGCGCACGTCGAAGCGCTATGGCGCGAAGAACAGCTCTGGCGTATTTTACTCTTACTTTAGTAACTTCCGGATCAACTTCGAAATGTCAATAGATAATGTTAGTAACGTAATGTCAAGGTCACTAGTTTTTGGGTAAAATTAACGTCCAGTAGAAAACATGTCGTATTGACGTTTTACAGTTAATAAATACTATACTACGTTTGTTAAAAAAAATGTCAATCCCAGGGAAGTGTATGTTAATTATGAATAAGGATGAACTCAAACAAACACCCAAATTATTAAAAATGTTAAACGAGCACTTGGCATGCCTGACGAGATATTCTGGGACAAAACATCTTATTTAGGGTAGTCATAAGCGACATTTGATAGCTGCGGTCATGCCAGATAGGTCAGTAACTTGCAAAGATTGATTTAGTTCCACTATCAAGTAAAGCTTAAAAATTGATATTTATTGCTTCACTATTGAATAGTGTTTATGACCATTGTAATTGTAAGGGAAATGTCCGAAAAAAACTACTTTTTGTAAATATCGCTACTTTCCGCTTATATCCTAATTAGCGGATCATGGATTTAAGAGCAATTATTTATTTTATTATATTCGATGCGTAATTTAGCTACTCGAATTGTAATACATGAATTAACAAAACACTAAGAAGTCGAGTTATCGCCCGCAGCACCGCTGATGTACTAAAATGCATAGTTGTAAATAATTGTGACTATTTATAGTGTCAATGTAAATAATAGTCAATTGATAGTGTAGCCGACGACCAAACAAAGCCAATGTTCTCGATACGAAACGGCGTCGACGCAACATGCCTTCGCCTTACGTATACTTAAACGAGCCACTCCTAACATTAAATCACAATCTGTTTGTACTTTAATTAACGCTTTTATTGTAAGTGAAGTATATTGTGGCTGTGAATCGGGATTCGAGTCCCATTATTTAGATATTACGCTTTACGTCACTAATTTATAGTTATTGTACCTATGTAACCTTTCATGTACCCTAGATATTAATAGTATTTATATCAAGTTGCAAGGACTAGTGTTACTTCACTTGAACTTAATAAAATCAAATTGTAAATGTTTATTAATTTAATTAAAGAATGTTATGAAAATATTCCCAATTACAATCAGAACTAGTCAGCTACTTTTAACCATACTTTTATTGCTATAGTAAAACACTTTCCAAATATATTCTCAACATTTTCATCAGATACATAATAATTCTGCTATAATCTAAGTTTGTACTAATTTAGTTGAGTGTTCAAATCCTAATTTGGTCAAGCTACATTATGTTGATGTTCCTTCATAGCAAGATTGTATTGTAAATATATTACTGGCTCAAAATATTACATTTTGACTATACACATTGAATCTAACAAACAAGGGTACTTTCTTTTTAGCACAATCAACAGTCCCCGTCTCTCACATTCAATGTGCAATCTGCCAAAATCTCAAATAACAAATGTCAAAGATAGATAACACAGCTTGAAAGTACCCCTAAAGTATTAATATTTCGTTAGGACATGTAGATACATTATTTATTGTGCTTAGATAACTTACACCCTATGTGTAAGTAATGTTTATTTTTGTAAGTAAATAGTTATATTATGTTGAACATTTAACTATTCTTTGTGTATGTATTGTTTTATTATGTAAATTTTAATTTGTTTTTGTGAAAGTGATGAAATGTGTCAATATACATTATAACTTACTGATATTAGTTTCATTTATTTGACCACAATGTATTTTGTGGTAATTGATTGTGTTACCAATTATTTTCCTATAAAGATAAGTATTATCTAATTTTCAAACAAACTACGTTAACAGCCAACATGCTGCATGCAACGAGGCAATATTTACATAAGTTATGCAAGGGAGGATTTCATTAGGAAATGATATTCAGAGGAACAGGATATTTTCAGAGAAAATGTTAAATAATGAAGAATAGTTCACACATACAAAATGTTTATTTTTCAAGAAGTTTGTGTAACAACAAAAATCAACCTTGTTAAGACCTTATTTTTTAAACATATAACTATTTACAGTTCCCAAAGTCTGCATTTGTCAACACAAACTCATGATATAAAATGCAACAAGGGTTATTTTTTCACAATGTTCTACACTAAGTTGTGACGGAGTTATTTCATTATAGTATGTCACAGTCTGTAACTTTAAAATCTTATTCGATAGTTAAAAGCTGTGATTACAATGATAAAAGCTACTGTTATGATAGATTCATAATATGCTATGTCGTAGCTATGTGTATTGAAAATAAAACTCTTAAAAATATCCTCCCCCTCCGTTACATGCTATTCAACAAATGAGCATGATCAAGAAAACCCTCGTATGAGAATTATTAGAAGCGAATCCAACAACGTCATTTGCAGATTCAAAGACGGTCAACGTCATAACCTACAAATTAATTTGTAATATAATACACGCTCGTGTAAATATTTTGTATATTTAGTTCAAAAATAACGGTAATACAATATTTATTTGTATTTCTATCATACGGAGAAGAGCCGACGCTCACTATGAGTTTAGCCGAGAGAGGGGAAATCCTTGTTGTCATCTACTTTCGGCGGGGCGACCTGCTGGCGCGGTACCGCGCGCTCCTCCACCGGCGCCTCCTCGCGCGGGGGCGCGCGCCCTCGCCCGCGCCCGCGGCCGCGGCCCCGTCCGCCGGTGCCGCCGCGCCGCGAGTTGTCGTTGAACGTGAACTCGATGCCCAGCACGCGCTTCTGGCGGCCCACGCGCTGCGGGTAGTCGGCGATGTCGTACTCCTCGTCGGTGTCGTCGTCCTCGCCGCCCTCCTTCTTCTTCTCCAGCATGACCAGGTTCTTCCACTGGCTGAGGTCCTCACCTTCTCCGGCCTTGCGCAGGTTCCACTGCGGCGCGGTGCGCTGCGCGTTCCGCAGCGCCTTGTACTCGTCCAGCGTGAGCTCGCGCGGCTCCTCCTCGGCCGGCGCGGCGCGCTCGGGCTCCGGCTGCTGCCCGTCGCCGGCTCCCGCGGCGTCCGGCGCCTTCTCCTCGACCGCTTCGCCCTCGGAGCCGGTTTTGTTCAGCTCGTCGAGGTCGTCCTTGATGGTGCCCCAGTTGTGCGGGCCTCCGCCCTCGCGCTTGTCGACCGGCTTCACGCCGGTCTTGTCGGAGCCCGACCTCCTGTCGAACTCGCGCTTTCCTCGGTTGTCGTAGCCCGGACGCGGCCCGCGCTGTCCGTCGCGCTCACGAGGTTCGCGCGGAGGTCTCGGTCCACGGCGTTCGGCACCCTCCGGGTTTTCGTTGAAGTTGCGCCGTTCGAAGTTAGGCCTTCGGTCGCTGAACTGCCTCGGGGGTCGCGGAGCGCCATCCTTGGTCTCCACGGCGCCGTTCTGCGGCCGGTCCTCGCGACGCCTCGGAGGTGGACGTTCCGCATTGCGATCGTTCGGTCGAGCGGGGCCCTTGCTCTTTTGTTGATCACCGCTCTTATTATCCTGCGTTTTCACATTTTGGGTCTCCTTGATTCCTTTCCTGACAGTTGTACCGCCTTTAGGTTTGGCTTCGGGCTTGCCCTTATTTTCTTTTTCAGCTTCTTTGGTCTTCTTTTTGAGCTCCTTAGCCTGCTCTCGCGCTTTTAACGCATCAAGAGGATCGGACTCATCGTCCAAAAAAAGAGCGTATCTGTTATCAACCCCCACACCGTAGGAATTTTCCATTGTGATCCTCTTGATGATTTAACCACACAAAAACTGGATGTTAGTGGATTATTTTACGCACTTCAGTAGGGCGACATTTTGTCCTGTTTTATTGATTTCATTTAATATGGCGGATGAACGCGAAACACACTAGAACGCCATATGACGAAAGGAATAGAGAAAAGAACTAATATGGCGGATCACTGCTTTTTAAAATTAAAAGTTTTGGCAATGGAACATGTACTTTAAGACATCTAAAGACAAATTAAAAGTAGTCTATGGTAAATTTAATTTTAAACGATCTACCTAGGTCGAATAATAATAATTCATTCATTCATCAATAGCTACGAAACATCTACGAATTAAGCATTTTTGTCTATTTGTTTATCCTTAAGCATCATTCGGCAATGGCGCATCCACACCAATCCACACATGCCGTGCAAGTGCAACCCGGCGGCCAGGCACACCACTAAAGTATTTTGAAAGCCGTCGGCAAACCCGGCGGCATCGCGGCATGACGTGTGGACACGCCATTAGATTCGGCATCATACATATAGATGACCCACGCTGAACTGTCCCACCAAACTCAATGACAGGGGGGCGCTACCATCGTTCAACTATATGGTTTCCAACATGGCAAAAATCGGAACCAGCGATCCGGTATTGACGGTGGCGCCCCACTGTCAATGTCATGCATAGGACAGTTCAGTATTTTGGAACTATACACCCTTCTCTCATCTGTGCTTCTAATCCAACTTGAGAGACAGGTTATGGCTAATTGGCCACCCTATCAAATATTAAAATTAAGAGTAGGTATAGGCGCACACCGTTGATTTTTCGTCGGCCGATAGTTTAGTCGGACCAAGTCGTATGCATAGCTGGGCACCGTTAATCAAATAGTTAACTTCGTTAATCGTTAAAGCGTTACTAAAAAAATTAACTTCGTTAAACGTTAAAACGTAACATTTCGGAAGATTTAACGCAAGTTAACGTTAATCGTTAATCCGTTAACACGTGATAATAAAACAAAAAAAAATAGTAGGTACTGGATTAACGATTAACGGACTTAGGATAATTTAACGGAAGTTAACGAGTCCGTTAACATTTTTTAAAGTTAACTTAAAAGTTAATCCGTTGATAGAAATGTTAACTTCGTTAATTAACGATTAACGGATTAACGAGTTAATGCCCAGCTATGGTCGTATGTATGAAGAATCGGCCAAATCGAAATCGGCGCACACTACGCCGATTTCGATTTGGCCGATTCTTCATACAATTTAACTCATTAATCCGTTATTTAACGAAATTAACAATTTTATTAACTAACTGAGTGAGCAAAAACCTACCTACTCACGATTCTATTCAGACTGCTAGTGAATTTGATGTGATAGAAAAACGTTACATAGGGCCATGGGAGAAAAAAAGTGCATAATTTTAAGTCATTGTGTATATTTCCAGTAATAACATGTACAGTAGGATGTAAAATATCGACCACAAAACGTTAGTTACATTTTTTTGAATATTTGACAGTGTATAATGTATTCGCCGAATCACACTATTTCTTGCAAGGATTTGCTGGTGGGCAACCACTACCGCCACTTCCCCCTCCTAGGCACGTTTCCAACAATAGTCCACAAACTTGATAAGGATCACAATCTCCAGCTGGTCTTCGATCTTCCATAAATCCTTTGCCTTTTTCCTTGATGTTTCGCTGAAGACGAATAGAGGCTTTTCTATTAGCTATACCCCATGAAAATTTATCAAAGGGAGCAGTTTCAAATTTTCCTGAAAGCCGCATTCTATTAGTAGCCACGTCATTACCATATACATTCATGTGTTTCATATGGTTCGCCTCCAGCTTTTTAATACATTCTTCTATAAATTTATAACCGCCATCCGATCGCATACGCTTTGTACTGAAATTGTGATGCATGCCCACACCAGGATGGAGCATTCCCATGGGTTTAGGGTGATATGTTATATCCACGCCGTAATCTTCACCTACACGCGACATAATATATCGGGCCAGCCACATATCATCTGGTGCCTTTATACCCACGGTAGTACCAATTTGCCATTCCCAGCACGCAAACATCACTTCAGCATTAGTTCCTTCAAAATCGAGACCAGCATATAAACAAGCCTTGGTGTGCGCCTCAGCTATATCTCTTCCTGCTATGTATTTTGCTCCCACTCCACAATAGGAATATTGATACTTTACAGCAGGAAATCCCCCGCCTTTAGGCCATCCCAAACCCCAACCGTCAACATCTAACATAGTATATTCTTGTTCCAGACCAAACCAAGGTTCTTCATCTCTATGTATTTCACATAAATCGTTGCATTTCTTACGGTGGTTAGTTGCCGCAGGTTCATTTTTGTCTCCTTGATATACTTCACAAAGAACCAGCACATGAGGCTCCATCCTAAATGGATCTTTACATACACTTGCAGGCTTTAATTTAGTGTCAGAATTGTCTGTAGCTGCTTGTCCCGTTGAACTACCATCAAATGCCCAACCTGGTGCAGCTTCAGCACTGTAAGGTACGCAGTTGAGAATTCGGTCTTTGCATCTCATATTGATCCCTGAGCCATCGATCCATACGTAAGTTGCCAGGACTTTGTTACACGGGGAAGGGAGCCTCATGTATCTGTCCATCACTTTTTTGTTCATTATGTGGTTGATAGAGTGCTTCAACAATGTTCTCTTGGTCATTACCATAACATTGGCATAGCGATGTATGCCCGATAAACACTTAATCATATTATCCATATTGCCTTTTTTATTTTATTATATTTTTATTTCACGTAAAATTTAGACCAGCAAATGACATCGTCGTTATTTTTGAAAGAAAAATATGAAAATCGTTTTGTAGTTCTTTATTTTTAAATGCAGTTGAATTCCACCAATGACATTTATGTTTCTAATCAAGTAAGAGCAAAGAAGGTTTTTAACAACTCAAAATAATGAGATAAGATATCTAGAGATATTAAAGCAGTAATTAAAATTTAATTTGAACAAGTTTCTGCTAAGAGTGCACACACTCGATAAGGATCACAGTCTCCAGCCGGTCTGCGATCTTCGAGAAATCCTTTTCCTTTTGTAACTACACTTCTCTGGAGCCTGATAGATGCCCCACGATCAGCTACGCCCCACCGGCAAGTGTCAAAAGAGGCCGTTTCAAATTTCCCAGTCAATCTTTTACGATTTTCTTCACCATCACCAAGTCCATAACTTTTCATATAGGTTTTATGTTTTTCGCACAGTAATTTACATACTCTTTCTATTTCCTTTACACCATCATCACAGCGCATTTTGTTAACGCTGAAATTATGATGACACCCAATACCTGGCTGATCTTTTCCCATAGGTTTGGGATGATAACTAATGATAACTCCAAAATTCTCTGCTATTCGTCCCAACAAGTATCGTCCGACCCATAAATCGTCAGCAGCTTTGATACCCGGTGTCGTCCCAACTTGAAATTCCCATGACCCTTTCATAACTTCAGCATTTGATCCACCGTAATCCATACCGGAATACACGCAGGCTCTGGCATGGCACTCAACCACTTCTCTGCCAGCAACATGTTCACCCATACCACAATATGAATATTTCGATTTTAACACAGGATAACCACGCATCTTTGGCCAACCCAGTGGCCACAAGTCTAAATCAAATATTGAATACTCTTGTTCTATTCCAAACCATGGATCTTGATCAGTGATTTTACTAAGAACTTTGGCACAGTGAGCCCTATGATTAGTCGGAGTTGGATTACCATCACCGTAGTATGTTTCACAAAGAACTATGATGTGAGGACTTTTACGAAATGGATCTCTGTAAATTGCTGAAGGAATCAACAAAGTGTCTGAATTATCGGTTGTAGCTTGTCCCGTCGAACTTCCGTCGAATGACCACTTTGGAACCATTTTCAAATCGCATGGAATCTGATCCAGTATCCTGTCTTTGGACCTCATATGTATACCACTGCCATCAATCCAAACGTATGTGGCAAATATTTTATTTTCAGGTAAAGGTAACTTTATGTAGTGGTTATAATACGCATTCAGAGGTGTTTCCAACTTTGCTATGCCACTTGTAAAGCAATTTTGACTTAAAAACCGAATTTTGCGTAAATTCGTAGTGTGTAAACATTTGCCAACAGTTTTATTTAGAATTTGTAAAGAAAACATTTTCACTTTGTAGTAAAATATGTAAATAATTGTTATAAAAACGTGATGGTCATGATAGTGTACCTATATGTACCTATTGTACGTATACAGGGTGGAAACGTTAAGTGATCTCACTCGATTATTTCGAAACTATACAAGATATCGAAAAACTGATTACTGATTCTGAAAGTGCTTTACAAGCTCTTTCAAACGGTACCAATAATAGGTTACAGAATAAACTGGATCTATCCGAAAATTCAATGTTTCCAGCTTCCATACATTTATTAAAAACACATAATATTAAAAACTATACAAGATATTCAAAAACTGGTTACTGATCCTTAAAGTGCTTTACGAGCTCTATCCAACGGTACCAATAATAGGTTGCAAAATAAACTGGATCCATTGGAAAATTCAATGTTTCCAACTTCCATACATTTAGTACAGCCACAGTCATGGCACTCATGTCTTGTTAATATTATAGCAAATAAAGCCTAAAACCAAAGTTTTCAAAAAATAATTTTAAACAAGAATGCAATTTACGAGTTCATTTTAAGTGTTTATTATTTAATAAAAAAAAAATGATACTTCTAATTTTGTTTGGCTGGCAACCTGGCATACATTTAGTTTGGAGGCTGAAAACACTAAATTTTAGGATAGATCCAGTTAATTCTGTAACCTAATATTGGTACCGTTGGATAGAGCTTGTGAAAGTCTTTCAGGATTAGTAACCAGTTTTTCGATATCTTGTATAGTTTAGAAATAATCGAATGAGATCACTTATCGTTTCCACCCTGTATAGGTAGTAAACTAGTCAGCTATGCCTGCCAAATAATTTAATTTATACTACCCATCAAGAATGGTCGTGATGTAAATACCTAGGGCCATGTTAGGGTAAGGCCATGATAAACTTGGATGGACCCATACTGCCCTATCTATACCACCTATACTTACAGAAGTTACAGAATCGTTAATTCCTAAGGACCCATAACATAGCTCTCGCTTGCTCTCGCTCTTACAAAATAATGTCACGACATTTTTCTAAGATAAAAATAAGCCATTGTATAGCCTGACCAGGAACATAAAAACCCTCGCCATGTTGCGGAAAACTAATGGTACTAATTTCTTTTAATGGCAACAGTAACTGAAAACTTCATTGATATGTCACCTTGCATGTCAGTCTATTGTTGTCAAAGTGTAAACAAACTTTATTTTAAAAAACTATTTTAGAGTGTAACTTATGTGATTTGTACATATAAAATGATGACATCTACCTACATCGGGTAAAGTAATGTTGCTTTTTATTATTTCTCATATTTGAAGAAACTGGGTATTTGTCAGGTAAAAGATAATTATTAAAAGATGATTTAAGAAAATAAAAACATGCTATAAAATAATATATTAGGTACCTAATTAAGTTGGATAGTCATCATAAAAATTTAAAAAAATTAAAAAGCTAGATTTGTTAAAAATATTATGAGAAAAAAAAGTCACAAATAATACACTTTACAATTATTTTTAATGATCTCTTAGTAATTTTGACTAACGCCCTTGGTCAAAACCACTTTTGAGTTTTGACTGTTACAATTATAATAAATTAGTATAGTTTCTAAAGTTATTTGGATCAGCTAATAAAGAATAACTAGTAGGAAAAATATTTACACAACATGGGAAAATATATGTTGAGACTAAGAGTAGGCGCACACCNTGTACTACCTATTGTACGTATATAGGTAGTAAACTAGTCAGCTATGCCTGCCAAATAATTTAATTTATACTACCCATCAAGAATGGTCGTGATGTAAATACCTAGGGCTATGTTAGGGTAAGGCCATGACAAACTTGGATGGACCCATACTGCCCTATCCTATACTATACCACCTATACTTACAGAATCGTTAATTCCTAAGGACCCATAACATAGCTCTCGCTTACTCTCGCTCTTACAAAATAATGTCACGACATTTTTCTAAGAAGAAATAAGCCATTGTACCAATAATAGGTTAATTTTGTATTAAAAATAACCAGAGGTGGAATGACAGGACCTTACTCTACAGTGGCGCCATCTTGATGAGTGCAATTGCGATAGTCCTCCTACCACTTTCACTCTCACCAGTTGGTGCCACTGTCTTCGCTACTAGCAAGTGACAGGACCTTACTCTACAGTGGCGCTAACTGGTGAGCGTTTGGCTTAACATAAAAAAAAAACTTATAATTTATGGTAACTGTCAGTAGGGTCAGTCAAAAAATGACACTAACTATCTGTGCACTAACTAATGTAAAAAAAAAACTTATGTCAAATGTCATTAATGTCAAATCAAATGTGTTTCGTTCAGTTTTGTTGGTGTTTGTTGAACTTTGAATCCTACTCTTTTTTGTAAAATATCATAAAAATTTAACTCGAAACCCTCACAATTCCCAGTTTTAAAGGTATAATAGAGGCTATGGAACTACTGGTAAACTAGGTATACTTGAGAACTTTTGTTCGTTTAGTGGCCAGTGGCTTTCTGTGTTGTTACAGTCGTTGTTCATAAATTTGCGTAATAATTGTGTTTATTTTTGGCGTTTTCTGATTTTCATAAGTGTTTTAAACAAGGCCTACATGAAGCACGATCGTGAGCGATCTACATTCGTCAGTATTTCACAATGGAAACGTAAGTATCGAACCTAAAAATTATTTTAATTTATTCACACAAAATAGCTTCCCTGAGTACCATTTGCTATTTTAAAATATGGTCTCATGGTCTAAAAGCTGTTCTCTACGCTATTCTTTTGATGGGATGATGTTAAAAGGATTTTTGTTTGTTCCAGCATCAAAGCCAATGCAGCATTTCTGTGCAACTTTGAAGTAATGCAAATTTTGCAGCAGCTAAAGGACAATACACAGAAAAAACACAAACGTGAAGGTTCTCTTGCTACTGTTACATATGAAGTAAGTAAACTTCTCAAAATGAGATACATACAACCACTTTTGCATGGTAATTTAGCATAGTAAATCAGATACATTTCTAAGCAATAGTAAATTGATAGTAATGTAGTTTTTTAATATAATATCCAATTAATGCTCATTTAATATCTGATGAACCTTTTCTATTTTCAGACAGTTCATTTCTTACAAAACTCAGATTGTAAGAACCAGAGTGCCCAAGCCATTCAAAAGTTTCTGGAGGCGATGAAGGCTTTCAAGCTGACCAAAACTGAGAAACTTATGATGGTGAATACTCCTCCCCGCACTGAACTGGAGATCCAGCTGGTAAGGCAGCCCTCTAAACGTTGCAAAACTAAGATGAATAATAAAAAGTCTTGGTATTAGACTACGCGCAGACCACCGATTTTTAGTTGGCCTATCGGTAAACAATCCGCCGATGAAAAATCGATGTTCTGCGCCTAGGCTTACTCAAACTCCACAATCTGAGTTCCTCATTTGAAATGCTAACAGATTCTAACCTTGTAAGCTGTAGCTAGTATCATGCTAATTCCCATATAAGGTAGCACAAAGTGCACAATTAGCTAGAAATCCCATAAAAGCTAGAAATATTGTTGTGAATATAAAAAAAAAGTGTTAAAAATTGTAGCAACTCTGTGAATCAGTAAAAAGATTTGAATACCACCAAAGCAACTCAGTATGATAAATTAGCAAGCAAAATGTCTATTTGTTTCAATTATTACAGTTTAGTATTTATTACTTTCTTTGTACAGATTCTTTTTAATTTTTTTTTCAGAATTTCAAAGTAAGCTTAGGCCTTTGTGTATTAAAATTGTATATTAACTTGATTTCAGATTGTACAAGAGAGCGAGGAGAGATTATCCGAAGAAGACGTAAGGAAAATAATCAGCTTGTCCAATGAGTTCCTGCCACCAAGTGAGAACATATGACAAATGGACGAGGCTGATGAGCCCGAAGAAATAAATATATAAATTGTATTAATTACCAAATGTTTAAGCATAAAGTCGGATGCTTTTATACCACTGCTTATAAACTAAACCAGATATTCATTTTAACCGTAAGGCCTTTGCCATTAGCGGCAATGCCGCCAAGCACGTTAAATAACAATATATTTTTTCTTTTCAAGTTGGTTATCAAGCATTAGATTCGACTATTTGATATTGACCATTTGACCCTATAACGTCATAGTGATAACATTTGCTTACGTAAATATGTAATCAACGCACTATTAAAATTAAAATATTAGTGTAAGGTATTTTTAAATTGTAAAATAAAATCATGTTTTGTGATGTAAAGATTAAGGGTTTTTATTTTTCTTTCAGATGTAGGTTCAGTAGTAAACATTCTTGCTATTCTGGTACTTGATATTTGTGCCTTTGCTTCTGTCTATTGTTAGTATTATTACCTATATTATTATTTATCTATCTAGCCTACCTGCTTAGTTTTATAAAGTTCAGTGTCCCGACTCAGCTACCAAGAGTCCTATGACTAAACTAGATCTAGACAACATAGCCTAAAAATATTTTAGAATGGCATACTAAACAATTTACCAGGGTTCGAAAATATCCGATATTTATTATAAATATCAAAATATCGGATATTTATGATATATATCCGATATATATCAACTTTGATATATATCAAATTTGTATGAAAGCCATAGTATTATTTTATTGTATTATTCATGAATACTATTGCATATGTGTTACATAATCATGTTTTTAATGTTTTTAAAACTTAAAATCAGACAAATAAAGCAAAAACATAAAATATCTTTGAAATACGGCAAAATCAACAGAAAAAATTAAAATCTTATGTCAAAAAGTACAAATACAGTAACAAATTTTAAAAGTTGATATATATCATCAAAACCGGCTTGATATATATCGGATATATATCCGATATATATCTTGATATATATCCCTTGATATATATCCTCGAACCCTGCAATTTACCCTAAATATTTTGTCTCTTGGGGAAAGTTAAATTGTCAGTTATTTAGTCAAAAACATCTATGATAGAGATCGAATAGTTTTAAGCATCGTTTCACCATCGTACGAAAATCAACTTCAAGGTGTACATCTGTGGCACCTTCGTTCGTTTCAGCCGAAAGACGTCCACTGCTGGACAAAGGCCTCCCCCAAGGATTTCCACAGAGACCGGTCCTGCGCCGCTCGCATCCAGGCGTCTCCCGCGACCTTCACCAGATCGTCGGTCCACCTAGTGGGAGGCCTGCCCACGCTACGTCTTCCGGCTCGTGGTCGCCACTCAAGAACTTTGCTGCCCCAGCGGCCGTCAGCTCTACGGGCTATGTCAGTCACTCTGGTTCTCCTACGGATCTCCTCATTTCTGATTCGATCACGCAGGGAAACTCCGAGCATAGCTCGCTCTATCGCCCTTTGGGTGACCTTCAGCCTTCTTATGAGGTCCATAGTAAGCGACCATGTCTCAGATCCGTATACCGTCACTGGCAACTCACACAACGCCTCATTTAGCTTTGTCGACCTGGGCCTCTGATGGGCTAAAGCAAAAAAATTCTTAACACTTTTAAAGTCTCTGGAAATGAATATTTTTGACTTACGCACTGTTAGAACTTCACTGACGAATTGACGTTTTGCAAGTACTAATTTGATTTTTATTTATTTATTTGAAATCCTCATTCCAGATACCCACACTAATTGCCGGCGCGCCGCAGCCGAGACGAGGCGTACGCCGCGGTGGACGCCTACCTGCAGCGACGCCGGTTCATCGCCGCCGACCACCTCACGCTGGGCGACCTGTAGGCCTAAGATGCGCGCCGTGATAACTTTTATCGACGTCAAAATGTATGGGCAAAATCGATAAAATGGCGTGATAACCGCTTATCGCGGCGCGCATCTTAGGCCTACTGGCCGTCGGCTCCACCGCCACCGCCACGCTCCTCCTCAAGGAGTTGGACAGAGATAGGTAATCTTATTTCAGTCCTGGATCTGTCAATAGGCCGTATAGTCGGCGGCCTAGGGGCGGCAGATTTCAGATGACGCTTACTCGATTTCAGAAGATAAAAGTTAAATAAAGATCCAACCCCACCCTAACCTACGGGCGGCAAAACTGTAAATCCGCCACTTCTTTTTCTTATCGTGTCGACAACAAACCTACAGTGTCAGCCCAAAACTCCGCTACAAAAGTGGCGTTGTCAGCAGCATTCATTAAATCCTCCTGCATGGAGTTGCTCGGGCACTCAGGGTCGTGTCATGTGCTTCATCGACTGGGGAACATAACCGCACCTGCACTCCATGTTTGAGCCATATGAGAATACCCACCTGAACAGAGTGTCCTTACTACGGCCGACCTGCATCCGAAGTCTATTTAAAGACTTCCAGGTCAGCCAGGGGAGCTCATGTCCAGAGACGATAGAAGCTAAAATCATGGAAGCGATAGTCGTAGCTTATGCCGCTTCTATAGTACGCAGAACTGACGGCCGATGGGCTAGCAAGGTTCTGGAATGGAGGCCGCCTATCGGAAAACGTAGGACGTCCACCCACAAGGCGGACCGACGACATCGTAAAGGTAGCAGGAAGGCGCTTGACGCAGGCCGCTACCAACCGGGCAACATGGAAAGCATTGGGGGAGGCCTATGTTCAGCTGTGAACGTCCTATGACTGAGGATGATGAGGTAATAATCATCATTCTCATCAAGAAGATGTTTAGTGTCCTATATCATCATCATTTCCTAGGCAAATTGAGGATTTGATCTACACTCCCAACTCTGACCCAGGGGTTGCCTGTGGTAACACGGTACTATTTCGTAATAATTTAATCTGGGGGNCATGTAGTATATCTATTGTCCTATACAACCTTACATTTTCATACCCAAGTCTAAATAATTTGTCCTTTACGCTCTTAGATTATCTAAACAAATATTTTAAAAATCTACATATTGAGGATATTAAAATCACTGTGAAGGTAAATTTTATAGACGTTTCTTATAGTATTTAAGTATGTGCGTTTGGAACAAACGAAAGAACCTAAAAAATCATCAAAAACTAGCTGACCCGGCGAACTTCGTACCGCCTTAGCGTAGAGATTTTCTTAATATTTTTTTCCGTAAGAACCATCCTTGGACTTCCACAAACATTTAAAAAAAAGAATTATCGAAATCGGTTCAGCCGTTCACACGTGATGCCGTGACAACGCGAAACGGGTTTCATTTTTATATATA